TAAGGTGGGGAAGGGAAATCCTAGAGGATTAGCAGGCAATGTAATTTAGCATGTCTAACAAAGCCCTTTATGCAACAGTCTTATCCCGCTATACAAACACAAATCACCCACTCAACTCCTAATACAGGTTTCTAGCTCCTTCTCCTTCCTCTCAAGCAGATTGTGGGGTACACAGTCCTGGTTTTGGAATAATGTGTCACACAGGCTCTATTTCCATGGCACGAGGAAGTTGCAACTTCAAGACCATCTCCTCCCACTTCTGTATGGGAAGCCAAGGCTGCTCTTTGTTCACTGAACCATATAGGTGGGAGTCAGTCTTTTAATGTGGAGACACTGCCAAGCCAGCTGGAAGTTGCCAAGATTACGCAAGTCAGAGATGCAGTTGACATTGTATTGGTTTAAGTGGAAAGGCCGCAGAAGCGACATCTTTCTTACTTCCTGTGTAATATCCTCTGTTCTGAAATTTTGAAGAAGTTTCTAGACCATTCATGAGACCATTTCTCTTTTTGGGTACACTTCCTAGCTGACCAAAAAAGGTGGACATTAAGAAATTTAAGAGCCAGTATACAGTTTAATTAATATTTATTAAGCACCTATAAGATTCCTAGCAATACAAGGAGCTATGGGAATAGGAAATTACATGGAAAAAAATAAAACCCTTGTATCTAAGAGTTAGAATTTAATATAAATGAGAAATAAAAGAAAAATGCTAGAAAACACTGGTTTAAAAACCAGCCCTGGTCTGCAGATAAGTGACCGCTCTGCTGTGTGTGACTAGCCATGTGAACCTGAGCAAGCCACTTAACTTCTCCACACTTCTCTAAAATGAAGAGTTGGATCATAGGAATTCATTATTCCTTAATTAAGTTTGGGGACATTAGACTAGGTAAGTATCTCCTTTTGTTACTTTACATAAACTTTTGGACCTCAAAAGAGTACCAAGGAAAAAGTGGGAATAAGCTACTGTTAATCACAGATTATTAGAGTTTGAAGAAGTCTTTGTAATCATCTAGTCTGATATCTTACTTGAAAAATAAAGAAACTGAGGTACAGAAATGTGAATTTAGTGGCCTAAGAGCATGGTCAGCGGTAGCTCCAGGTCTCTTGATCCAATTCTCTTGATTCAGTTTCTAATTACATCATTTGCTAGTCCTCCAAATGCATAGCTTTATTTTCATCTGGACGTCCTTTTGGTATTCATTGAGATTCAGTTGTTTTTTCCCACAGCTCTTTGATATTTAACTAGTTATTAAAAACTGAGAAGGCATGGGAAACAGCAAGGGCAGAGTGCAGTAATTTTTCAGAGAACAGAAGTAATATTTAAGTAGTACCTTTCCATCACCTCTTCCGACCTAGCATAGCTATCATCCCTTAGGCAAAAAACTACTGTTGAGAAGAAAACTATCATAGAAAGTTAGATGTTAACATGTTAATTATCTTTGGGAAAAAATGGCTGTGAGTAGAGATATCCTGAAACTATTATATTCATTCCTACATAAAGAAACATGATTTTGAAGGTAATTATTTGCCACAGAATCTGCAAATTTATATTACATTTTGGGAAACAATCATCAAATAGAGTTGTGTAATTTTAGCTTGCACTGTTCCCAAAAGCCAGTCTGGAAAAAGAACTGCAAAGAAGGCTTATAGTTTATTTAAGTCCATAATACTGTAAGACTTGCTGATGTACACGATTGTCCTGGAAATTTTCCAGACCTTCTAAAACATGTCCTTTCCATGAACCTCTGTTCAGCAACAGCTCAACAAGGAAAGGTGGTTGATGTGATCTGAGGATTTTAATATCGTAAGAGAGAGTTGGCACACAAAGAAAATATACTTTTTAACACCGTAAAATTTTCCTTATCTCAGGAGAAACTGCTAAATTTTAGGGAAAAAATTTTATATAAAAATTCCTCCTTCTTTGAAGGAAACGCTTTATGCTTCTCTTAGGTCAGGAAACTTCTCCATAAGGACAAGTCTTTTTATGTTCTCTAGAAATACTTTCACGTGGCAGCTGAAAACAAATGTGAAAAAGAACTATAGGAAACAATGCTATGGCATTACAATTATTGGGAAAGAGACGGAAAAACCACTTAAATATAGGGTTATCTGGCGAGAAATTTCCTACCATGTCGTTGGCAGTAGGCTTAACATGTCCTTGACAGTGAGATGGACTCCAACATTCAAAAGTCATCCTCTTTAGTATTAGAGAAGGAAAAGGAGAAGATCAATGTTAACATTCTTAAAAAAAAAAAACAAAACAAAACTCCACAAAGCTACCAAAATAATTGGGAAAGGATCCATTTTCTCAATTATAACAATTATCATGTTATCAAAGTACACCGATTAGTGTTTCATCAGTGGCTTCATTTTCACACACATCAAAGATGAATATGTGTGTGCAGGCATATGTATATAGTGTAGATACATTATATATAGTGGGCTCACCCCTCATCTTCTCACTTACTTCAATCCCAATACATGGTCCAAAACCCCGAAGAAGGTTGGTGGAGAGAGTTAGGGTCCAGAAAATGGTTTATGAAGCAGTCTATTCCTCATTCCCTTAGTGCTTTTCATTATTGGGTACATAATGGTCATCCATTTTTGAAACACCGATAGAGTTTAAACTCAAACCAAATAAACATTTGGAGTTGGTTAACATCTGGAGTCATAACACGGGATATTTTTTATTATGTTTGGTACCTGTGAATGTAAGCTCCTTACTGTCAACTTCCACTTCTTTTGAAAAACCCGTGTATCTGGTATCAAACAGAGTTTCTACCTAGGGTACTTCAACACTGCAGCAAAGGGCATTTGATGGAGTTTACAACAGAGAATAGAGGAGAATTTCAAATTTTATTTTGAGGGGAAAGCCTACAATGGGATTAACAGGAGTTCAGAGAGAGGACATGAATGTTTATCGTACATCTTCTGGGAGTAGTATAATATGCTGCTTCATTTAATATTTATAACAATCATAAGAAGTTTTTCTTATCACCATTTTACACAGAAGGAAATTGAAGCACAGAGAGTTTAAACAAGTTCGAAGTCAAGAGTTATGACTTACATAAAGGTAAAGTAAGTTTGGTTACTACAAAGTTCAAAGCCAAGGAGAAGTCCCACAAGTTCTAGCCAACGATCAAAGTAGCTGAAGTGACTGAAGCTAGTCCTGAATGATTGGGTTTTATGTCGCCTACTGGGTGTAGCATGTGGATTTTTTTTTTTTTTT